TATATTTCTTTAGCGTTTATTAATAAATTTAAAAACCTGGACATGTCCAGTCTTTTCATGATTTTGGCCTCCATCGGTAGTTCTAGCTGTTGCTTAAATGAGGAACATATTTGCACATTCGTACATACTCCAACTCGACCGTCAAATGTTTTACAATAGCTGGGGTCTACTTTGATTAGTGTTGGTACTTCATTTGGACAACAGACCTGTAATGTTATAATTGTTTCTGGATCATTATTGGTTTTGGAATTGCATACTACGTTGCAAAAATGCGTTTATTATATTTAGTGCCTAAAAAATCACTCTCTACTCAGAAAATATGGATTTCTATTTATTACTAACTATCTGTTCCTGTGCGGTTTTATCCGCGTGAAATTATAAAAACTTTTTTTATTTTTTACGTTTGTCAAATTCTTGAGAATAGAATCAATTGATTGCAAACGTCAAAATTCAAATTCACAAATGACAACGAAGACCACTGACATTTGATAACAACTACCATAATAACCTTGCTTATTTAATGTTGGTACGTGAAGAGTTTAGTATAGAAATATAGATCTTTTTTATTATTGACTAGGTGTTGCTCGTGAATGGTCTAGGTGGAATTAAAAAATATAGCATATGTTACTCAGCAAAAACTTAGTTTTTTAATAGTGAAAGAATTTTTGAAATGGCATAGTCGTTTTTGAGTTCATCATCATCATTTTAAAATTCCATTAAAAAACAAAAGTGAGTAGTCTATGTGTTCTTCAAGACTATCCTCTATCTATGCCAAATTTTATCGAAATCCATTAAGCCGTTTAGCCTAAACTTTAACAAACATCCATCCTTTTAAACTTTCGCATTTATAATATTAGTAAGATAGTAACATATACGTACCTTCTTCGTTTTTTGTCTGGTTTTAGGATGATAACAGTTGGAGTATTCTAGAAGCAAATTATCATGAACAGTTCTATATGCCGGGGGTATATTTTGCAGTTCTAATAAGGAATTGCAAAAGTTCAAGTGAACGCACCTGCCTAGGAAACCATCTGGCGTTGTACAGCTGGCTGGAATCACATGTTTTAAAAAGTCACTGAATACGTCAAACGTAAATGATAACGAAATAAGAGAAGTTTCATAATTTGACTTAGTTAAATGAATGTTTTTATTTGGATCAAAAGTGAATACATATAGCAAATAAAATTTATTGATAGCACTCAAATTACCCACTTATTATTCTGTGGAAAACCTTTGTTCAACAGTGGACAGAAGTCAACTAAACTATCGCATAACTGTTTAGTCTCCTTTTCCTATGAGCTTAAGGAGATGCGCACACTACTCGATTTTTAGTTGTGCAACTAAACAGTTGAATTAGCTGCGAAACAATCGACAATCGCACAACAGTTGTGTTACAAAGGTGTGTGCCCGGCCTTAAATATATTTGAATACTTACTCGTTGCTTGCACATAAGTACAGATTCCCAATAACAATATTTGTAAAATTAATGATTTCATGTTTTAAACACTGCTCCAATACAACAATTGTCTTCCAGTATTAACGTGTTACTGCTGACTTGATATTTCGACAAATACTAGTAATATTTATGAATTGTGGTTATCTAAAGTTTTATTGATCATTAAATAAACGGTCATAATTAACAACTAATTGGTATATGTATTATGTGTCTCAATTATATACTAGCTGTTCCCGTGCGACTTCATCTACGTAAAATTGTGAAAAATTTATTTCATTGTGTCAAATTATCTATTGCAAATGTCAAAATGACATGACGATGGCATGGCAACCTTGCTTCCTTGATGTTGGCAGTAACTTATGGTCTCTTTCCCACATTAGGGTTTTTATTCTAATATTTACCCCCTAAGTTTAATTAATGGCTTCAAAATATATAGACTAAAGCGTGACGTAAGTGTAGGGCTTTTTATTAAAAAAAATAATTATTCAAAAACATGCTGTAATTGCTGACATGTTAGGCAACAAAGAAGTGTGTGTTTACGCTTTATTATAATAAGTATAGATTAAAAAAAATCGTAAAGATAACGAGATATTCGGTAGTGACATTTATAGGAAGTTTTTGTAAGCTTCGAGGACTAGGTATCCCTAATTTTTATGTCTCATCGGCCAGTTTTAGCATTTACATGATTGGGTCTTTGACATTAAGTTGGTCTTTTAATTAAAGACTCTTTTAGATTTCTTTTCCTTCTGAATCGAAGTATCTTAAGTGAATATATTAAACTGTAAATGACTACGAAAGTGATCTTTTGTCGGTCTGTTTATTGTGTCAAACGTCGATTGAATATCGATTAAGATAGTTATGACAAAATCGTTTAATTATCTATAGCACTAATTACTCTATAACGATTTATCTCTATCGTATTTAAAACTGCATGTACAGTCGAGGTATTCCAGGTATTCCATTAACAGAAAAAAATCCCTTGTCTTCTTCTTCGCTTGAGTCTTAACAGACTCGTCGTGGTTAGCACGTATCAGGTATCAGTGACCCGCTTCACAAGCCGCCGCCACTCCTCCCTATACTGTGCAATTTTCGTCGTTCAATATGTCCATAGCCGTTCTTATCTGGTCAATCTATCTCATAGGTGATCTTCCCCTAGGTCTGATGCCCCTTGATTGCAACTAGACAAACTTCGTCTCTTTTTGAAAATGATTCGTCCGCGTCAATTAAAGAAATAAATTAAATCATATTACTCGGTGATAAGGTAGCTTTTTAATTGTGAAAGAATTTTTAAAATCGGCCCAGTAGTTTTTCCGTGAATATATACATACAAAAATCTAGAAGTACAAATTATCATTATCATTGAGTTACATAAGCAACGTTTTTACTGTTTTTTCTTATTTCACGCGGGCGAAGTCGCCAGCAACAACTATTGTTTTATTTAAAGTCAAAGTTTAGACTCGGTTTGACCGAAGTTGCTCGTTTCCATAGGTCATATATCAATAATTACATTTTGCTTCAATTTTTCGTATTTATGGTAAGTTGTTTTGAATAATTAAACTATGTTAATATTTTTGAACAACTGATTGTATAAGAAAAATATGCATGTCAAAATTATTTAGGTATTTTTAAGCTATGTAACACAATATCGTATCATGGCAATGTTGTTTCCTTGATGTTGGTAGTTTGTAGTTTATGGTCCCTTTCCCACGTGAACGGTTTTTGACAATTTATTTGCCCCCTAACTTTAAAAGGGTGAAAATAAATAGTCTAAAGCGTGTCTAATTGTAGGGCTTTTTATTAAAGAAAGAATTATTCAAAAAGATCCTGTGATTGCTGACATGCTACGCCACGAAGTAGTGTGTTTACGCTTTATTATATTCGTATAGATATATACATAAGAGAGATATCTAAAAAATAACAACTCATGTTGACTATCACGGTTTTATTTGGTTTCGTATCCACGGCAAGTATTCGTAGACTTTAGTATACACTCCTGGTATATTTTCCTGTCCGCACGGCGTAGGTCCAAAGCTGATGATCCCGACAACTTCGTATGTCCTTCCGTTGTAATACATCAGCGGTCCCCCGGAATCTCCCCTGCAGGAGTCCTTGCCCTTCTCACCTCCGGCGCACAACTGACCCTTCCATAAGGGAACTTTGAACCGCTTTTGGTATACTAAATTACATTCCTGTAGATAGATTATACATTAGTTTAGAATCGCCAATCATGAAACTTTTATTCGAAACAAAGAGATTTAAGAAATATATAGAATAGACATAGTGAATATTTTTTTTCCACCGGTAATTTCTCTGACAGGTAATATATCTCTTGTTACTCTCACTTAAAATATAGAAACTTAATATTTACATTTATCGACACTAGTGGTAGATCGACCGATTGTTTTGTGTTACTGCTACTAGTCTGGGCATCCACAGCTCCCCAGCCAGCCGCCTCCAGCCTGGAGTTGGTAAAACGTGTCGTCATATCCGTACTCGGCAGGCAGATTGGACGTATGAAATCTGTAAAGTGTTTATTAGTACTAATTGTAGGAACCTGTACTTCATATATAGCGAAGAAATCGATAAATAGTAATCAAAACTGGGGAGACGATAATAATAATATTCCTTCCGTGAATTAATTTAATATGAAAGTTATTACCAAATAATAGTTAAAAAAATTTAGAAAATAGAAAAAAAAAACAAGCAATCAGTAAAACAAGTTGTAAATATGTCGTTGTTAATAAAATAATAATGTTTACCAGTATACGGTGCAATTGTTTTCAGCCTGATGAGAGCTATGTCGTTCCTTCGCAGCTGGTTATAGGGATTGTACTGTGGATGACTGATGATTCTTTCTATAGGTAGTATAACAGCGCCGGCCGTACAGTCTCTTCCACCTCCCGAGGCCTCAACACAGTCAGGACCGGAATTTGTAATATTGTACTCCCCTAGACGGACATTGACACTAGAAAAAATCATATATATCAAACTCTGGGTTGTAAGACAGGTGCACATCTGTACCATAAGAGGAATGAAGTGCGTTTAGTGTTGGACAATGAAAGATTACTCATGAGATGATCCGCAAAAGAATTAGTACCTTTGTACTTGTATTCCACCAACCCCCACTGGGTCAGCATAGTTGATTATGGCCTAGTAACCCCTAACTAAGGATAGGCTTCGAGCTCCTTAGTAAAGACATGTAGGGAGCTGGTTACGATGAAATGTATTCTATGATAAATGAATTCGTGTTGGTGATGAGAGCATCAACCATCAATAGTTGTAGAGAAAACTTTTGATCACACCCTTAAGAACTATGGATGCGAAGCCGATGTCATAGGTACATTGGTGCTATACTCTCTCATTGAAATTTATTATAATTAGTATGCGCCTAGATCTCAGAATACTGGTTTATATTAAAATTAACTCACGGTGTCCCTTTCTCGAGCACTTGACCAGCGACGCAGTGACCCGCGGTGAGCACGTAACGCCCGCTGATAAGCGCTCCGCCGCAGAGTAACTTGATCTGATTATCCTTCTTGTATTCGATAATAACCAACCATGGGTACTCGTCTATTGCAGTGTCACTACCACCTGAAGTTTTGAGTTAATATACATTTCTACTTTTCTGCATCCGACAAATAAGTTGTTCGCACCGTACTAAATATTTTTAGTAGGCTAAATGCCTTAGCTTTTTTATATTTTAGATTTCTTAATGTTGTCCCTTTGGATATTATGGATCCAGGTGTTAGGGGCTTATTGTTTTTCAAATACGATAATGTGATATATGACGATAATGATAATGATAATTTCAAAGGACGGAAGACCGAAGAAGGTAAGGATGGATTGTGTGAAATAGGATATGCTATATAAAGGAGTGGATTCAGATATGACGGCTGATAGAGATGCTGATAGAGATGTATGGAACAGCACATGCTGTGCCGACCCTCCATAAGGGATAAGGGCAGGTTGATGATGATAATGTAATTTCAGTATCGTGTTACCGAAAATCTTGGAACTCTCGCCTTCGACGCCGCAGCATTCTGTTTTAGGGTCAGGCGGGTATGCTGTCGCGATGCATACCGGTGGGTTGATCACGGGCGGTACAATCGCAGTAGGCTGCGCGCAACAAAATTTCTGTGATTGAGGACCGTCACATCTGAGGATAAAGGTTCAATATGAAGTATTTTTTTGTATAAGATGCCAAAAGTGATACGCCCCATAGAAATTTGACAAAATAGCAAAGCTGCTGCCTATAGACATCTGTTTTTATAAATACCAAGGGACGCATAGAATTTCCCTTACCTATGCGCTCCATCCTTCTTAACATCTTCTCCTTGCAAGATAAGGGTAGAAAGGTGAAGTAGACAAGAGTTAGCCATTCGGCACGCACATTCCTCAGGCGAATCAAGGAATTGTTTCCACTTGACGTCTGTCTTCGGTGTGGTCATGGTATTACACCGGGCGATCCGGCCCATTCGTGTTAAAGTTTATCTGTGTCTCTACCACAGTTTATCTGTCTTATCCTATTTGATTTTGGGTAACTGATTTTTGTCTCTTTCATGCAAAGTTGATGGTAGCACAATCGTTCATATGGTTTTCAATTTACACGTAATCGAATTTTTTGGTCATATGTACGAGTAATGCAATGTTCTACACCGTTTGTCCTATTATGATAAAAATAATGATTTGTTCAGAAGTACTATACATTGCTACTTACTACAAGATTCTTACCTAGAATTTCTTATTAAGTTAACAATGGCACTGGTGAGCGGTCGCTGGAGCCACCTGCTCAGTTGAGGGCAGGATTGCATGGTGGTACATTTGCCCTCTTTGCCGTCGGGCGTGACGCATCTCTTATCTAATGTAGGTGGTGGTAACCGAGGACAGCATACCTGTTGGTTGTGATTTTTTAGTAGTGGGATAACAATTGGCTACACAAATGTAAAGAGGAAATTATATGACGGTTTCTAACGAAGTCAAAAACGCCTGGGCCTTATTTGATTGCTAGTAATTGATGCTAGCAAATTGATTTAACATTTTTTTCTATTTAGGGCCTGTCCCACCAAATTATAATTTGTCTGATAACATTCCAACATGTAAAACATGTGATGGAAATGTCGAATTTTGTTCCATATCTGACAGTGACGTTTTTAAGCTATCTGAACCTCTATCAGCCAGTGATGGGACAGGCCCTTACTGTTTTAATTAGTGATTTATCGTTTCATCTTCGTTGTTAGACTACGTTTTGAAAATTCCCTTTAATTGTTTGTAGTAATGATACCGTAGGTATGTCTCCGTTGAATCCGCACTGCGATTGCCGCAGGAAGTTGTAGTCGGCGTCAGTTAGCTGTGGTTTATTCAGTATGGACACCAGAGGGGGACACTGGTCTACATCTATGCACTGTCCCTCACCACCAGATGGTGTCCGGCATGCCAGTTCTGTCAAGTATTTATACATTTAATGATGAATTCCAAAATCAAATACTTCATACTAATGTTATAAATGCGAAAGTTTGAATGGATAGATGGATGTTTGTTAGTTTGTGACGAGAAGATAACTATTTTTTTAATTCTGATACTATGTCGCGGGCGAAAGTTAGTAACAAATAAATATTGATAAAAATAATCTTATTACTAATGTGAAAAAACATTAGTAAACCATAAATGTGATTTATTTATAATATTAAAATCTAATTAACGATATGTCCTAATGACTATGCAACTAATTTATGAGTACGGTTTCTTAAAAACCATTAGAAAACGATTTAAGCCTTCCCTTCTTAGATTCCTAATACTGAATGTAGAATCACTTAGAAAGATTGTTAGTATTCAAAAAATAGGTAAATCCTAAATGTTGGAAAACTATGCAGACTTCCATAAGTGGACTAGAAGGGATCTGGAGGAAAAAAATGGGGGAATGTCTAAGTGGTTCATTGTGTCCCCTAAGTGCATTTGAAAATGTAAGATCGTAGGACAAAGAGTTTCAAAAGTCTTAAGCGGACATTACGAACACTTTTCTTCGAATATGCTAAGCAAAATTCGTAATCTGTCTAGCATAAGATCAAACTCTACTACGATTGATTGTTTAACTTAATAATAATAAAGCCTCTTTATTTCCATATCTAAGATTTTTATAATTGAATTACATAGTATTTGTATATGTTTGTGTATATATAGTATTGTTAGTAATTGACTTATAAAAAGTATGTACAAGTTTTTGTTAGTTTCTTAGTTTTAGATATGGATCCCGTGTTGGGTAAAGGCCTCCTCCGCCGTTTTCCATGCCCTTCTGTCCCTGCCAAGCATCATCCAGTCGTTTCCTATTTTGTCAGTAATGTCATCAGCCCACCGTTTGTTAGGTCTTCCAACGCTTCTTTTTCCTCCTGGTCCCTTCCATTTCGTTGTTTCTATAGTCCACCGAGAGTCAGTAAATCTGGACAGGTGTCCAGCCCATTGAAATTTTAATTTTAAAGCTTGTTTAACTTAAATGTATTTTAAAATACGAAAACAGCGGAAACTGATATTATTTCATATCATGAAGTAATTACGACCGATAATTATCGACCGCCGACCCTACGGGAGTAGGATAAGGAGATGATGATGATGAAGTAATAACTACATT